GGATGAGGATGAGGAGGTGGCGGCAGCGGCGACTGTCGCCGCTGCAGATGCCGATGCGGATGCTGAGACCGGCGGGGGCCCCGAAGGGAACCCAGACTTTCCCATGGCCTCGCTGTACGTGGGAGACCTGCACCCTGAGGTGACCGAGGCAATGCTGTATGAGAAATTCAGCCCAGCCGGGCCCATCCTGTCCATCCGCATTTGCAGGGACAAGATCACCCGCCGCTCCTTGGGATACGCGTATGTCAACTACCAGCAACCGGTGGACGCCAAGCGGGCCCTAGAGACCCTGAACTTTGATGTCATAAAGGGCAGGCCAGTGCGCATCATGTGGTCCCAGAGAGACCCGTCGCTCCGCAAGAGTGGGGTGGGCAACGTCTTCATCAAGAACCTGGGCAAGACCATCGACAACAAGGCGCTGTACAACATCTTCTCGGCGTTCGGCAACATCCTCTCCTGCAAAGTGGCCTGTGACGAAAAGGGTCCCAAGGGCTATGGGTTCGTGCACTTCCAGAAGCAGGAGTCCGCCGAGCGGGCCATCGATGCGATGAATGGCATGTTCCTGAACTACCGCAAAATTTTCGTCGGGAGATTCAAGTCGCACAAAGAACGAGAGGCCGAAAGGGGAGCCTGGGCCAGGCAGTCCACCAGTGCTGACGTCAAGGATTTCGAGGACGACACCGACGAGGAGGCCACCTTGCGATGAAGACATCGTAGGAGCGGCCCAGCCAGCAGAGTCAAACCTTGGCTCCTACCCGGTTTACAACCCCCCCACCATCCCACCCCCTAACCCACCAGCAGTGTATTGTATTGGGAGTGCAGGTCTCTCTCTGTCTCTGTCTCTCTTTCTCTCTCTCTCCCACCATTCCTCCTTTTCTCCCTACCCTGCTCTTTCGCTTCCCTCTTCCCCCCTCCTGCTCTTCCCCTCTCACCACTTCCTACCTTCTCCCATTTTCTGTCCTCTTCTCTCTTTCCCTTTCTCTCCCCCCCCCCCCCACCCACCGAGGGCGTTGTGAATGATTTTACTAATCTGTGCCATTTAACAGGTTAAAGGCTGCCCCTTCTCCCTGTGGTTTGGTTTAAAAGGCATTTTTCTTTATTTCTTTGTTTACTGCACAGGTGATACAATTTCATGGTAGAAACCTCAGACAGGACAAGGAAATCAGATGAGGGAAAACCAAGAGAGTCCCCTTCCCCCCCCCCCCCCCCACACCCACCGAGGGCGTTGTGAATGATTTTACTAATCTGTGCCATTTAACAGGTTAAAGGCTGCCCCTTCTCCCTGTGGTTTGGTTTAAAAGGCATTTTTCTTTATTTCTTTGTTTACTGCACAGGTGATACAATTTCATGGTAGAAACCTCAGACAGGACAAGGAAATCAGATGAGGGAAAACCAAGAGAGTATTTGCTCCCCATGATCTACCACCCAGAGAGAACCACTTTTACTTTTTTGGTGTGCTGCTTTTTCAGGCTCTCTTCCTCTTGCTCCCTCCCTTTCTTACCCCCACCCCACCTTCCCTTTTAACACACTGTTATAGAATGGTTCATGTATGTGGTGTTTCTTAACCTGCTTTTTCAGCAACTAAAACCAAACAAAAATCAATCCATTGAATTTGTTTCCATGTTATTCAACAGGTTTATGAAACGTCATCTTCAGTGCCTGCAGAGTGCTCCAGTGTATCCATGGACCTTAACATTTCTGTAATCATTCCGGCATTGTTAGACATTCAGGTGGTGCCTAGTTCTTTCCCTGTGTTTAAAACCAACACTGCGTGCTCTGATGAGTGAATCCTTCCTTGTCAAGCCAAATCTTTGCTATCATCCTGGGTGGTCTCTTTAACTGTGGACTTGCAGGATCTGCATAGAGACATTTTAAAGACTTTTCCTGTGTGTTGACAAAAGGACCCCTTCATAAGCATTGTACAGATTTGCACTCGTGCCAACCAGCACAGCTAGTAAAATGAGTATGCCCATTTCCCCTCCATAGTCTCCTGTTCACTGTAATCGATGTGTGTGTGCGCGTGCACACGTGTGTTTGTGTGTGGGTGTGTTTGTGTGTGCGCGTGTGTGTCTTGGCCAGCTTGATTCAATGCAAATGGTAGTATTTCGCTGTTCTTGGTCCTTTGCTGGAATTAAACACTGTTTATCACCCCTTTCCTCTGTGCCCACTTCCTGTACTTTTCCCTGTTGTCAGAAAAACAATGCAGCTTCACTACAGGAAAAAAAATCACAAAGCAGACAAGTTAACAGAAGAAAACTAATGCCACCAGTAATCAGTCCTAATGATCATTCATACCTTCCTGAGACATTTTTATCCATACCTGCGCAGTATTTTCCAAGAACTACCTGAAACATTTTTGGCTTCAGTATTTTTCTTATGCATATGTCATATCTGTGTATTATAATGTACATACTGTTTTTATATCTGCTTTTCACACATAAATGTGCGTGTATACTTATACACACACATACTCTTGAACTTCATTTCATTTCATTAAAGGTTCTTTTAAAATGTTTTCTCTGGCTGTTAATATTCCATTGAATTCATCTCTAGATGGGGGATAGGTAGATATATGTACATATACATCCATGTCTATATCTCTGTGTGCTTGTGTGTGTATGTTTTGTTTTAACTCTTTTCTCACTGCTGAACATCTACTTAGTTTCTGTTTTTTCTTTATCCAAGTCAAAGCTGTCAAGATCATAATGCACAAACTTTGCTGACATTCAAGACTATTTATTGAATGATCACTGCTAAAAGAAGAATTGAAGTGTCAAAAGATACTGGCATTTCGAGTCTATTTTTGGGGGGAACATTGCATATTTATTGACCAGCTATAAAGATAGTTCAAGTTTACCTTCATATGGTGCACCAGTATTGTGAGAGGACCCGGATACCTGGATGATTTTCTGCACTTGCTATTACAATCATTTCTGCACTTTGCCAATATTTTATCTAACAGGAACATTTTTGTTTTTATTCATTTTAAACATATTTTATATAAATTGTACATGGTTATAATAGAAAATATTTTACAGAAATTTTTAATGTAAGAGAAGAAAGTCAAAATCCTAATACCACTCCTAATGCCTCTACTTGGCAAAATAAAATTTTAATAAATAGATTAAATAGATTACCTTTATGTTTATAATACAATATGCATTGTTTCATTGGAGGATATTTTCACTACACTAGTTCTCTGGGACTATCTTTCTATCATCAAATATTATCTTGTAATTCTGTTGTTACATAATACTACATCACAGGCATAAGCTATAATTTCTGTAACTAGGCCCCTTGGGGTGTGTTTAAAATGGTTCTGATTTTTATTCCTTGCAAGATCTATTCTATGATGAACACTTTTGTACCTGAATGTCTAAGAATTTTTTTCTTACTAGTGGAATTGTGGGGTGCTAGATATGGACATGCCAATTTTTTTTTGGCCTGCCATCAGATATTTCTCCCATCAGTAGCACAGAAGAGTGAACATATTACTACCAGTCTTCTTAAATTGGTCAAGGTTTTTTTTTTTTTTTTTTTTTTTTTAAATTTTGTGAAATTGAAATGGCTTGTACATTTTTCTTTTATTATTTCACTTTGCAAGTATATTTTTAAAGGAGATCTGGCACGTTAAAATATAGATAAGAATCACTTCAAGTGATTTTCTATACACACTTTTACAATCCATCTATAAGCATTTTTAAACAATTATGGAATCATACTGAATATATTTTGTCATAATTTTGTTTCGATATACTGCAAACATACCTAAAACATCTTTGATATTCAGTTTTCTCCTGAAACTCACCATCACTGTATAGGACTGAACATTTTTAGGAATTTCCCCACTTTGGATATTAATTGTGGTTCCTAAGATTTCCTCTTTAAACCCTACTCTGTGGTGAATAACTTTGCAGTTGAATTGTCCTCCTACCCACTTTTGCATTTAATATCCCCTCGCCTAACACAGGCTGTGAGTTAACACTTAAAAATCAAGACAAGCATCAGAAATATTGATTTTAAAAGAAGTGAAAGGGGCATCTTTAAGAAACCACTTAGAATTAAAACAATTTTACAAATTTCATAAAGCTAATAAACAAAGTGCCTGCCTTGGTAGAAGAAACAAGCATACATTATGCTGTTTAATGCTATCATGTAGACCCCTTTTTTAGCTCAAGGCAGTTTTGCCAATTTGGCAAAGAGTAAAAGACAAAGAAACCCTTGTCTTTAGGATTTATTTTTGTAGGATATTGATTTCTGTTATTTCTTCATAGAAATTATCTTAAAATATATTTATTTGTTTAGCCCGTCATATAGGGGGTTCAGAAATAATGCACCAAGGTGAATGACACAAAGCATTCATGTTCAGCACAAGGAGAGATCTTGCTTCAGCTTCTATCCAATCAGGATAAAATCCCCCTCATCACTGGGAAAGTAAGCTTAAAGAAATGGGAGAGAAAGAATAAAATCAGTTTTCCAATTTATACAAAGAAGCCAGTTGGAGTTCTGATAGAGATTGTGTAAAATATATAAATTGATGTGTGTACTATTATTATCTTAACACTATTAAGCTTCCCAATTCACAAACATGTAATGTCTTTCCTTTTATAGAGGTCTTTTTTTTCAACAATATTTTGTAGTTTTCAGAGTAGCAGTTTGCACTTCTGTTAAATTTCTTAAGTATTTAACTCTTTTTTATGCTATGGGAAATAGAATTGATTTCTTAATTTCATTTTCGTGCCCTGCTACTGTATAGAAATATAATAGATTTCTGTATATTGATCTTGTATTTTGCAACATTGCTGAACTCATTTATTAGTTATATATTTTTTTTGTGGATTCCTTAGGATTTTATATGCAAATGATCATGTCATGACAAAACTATAGTAAGCACAATAGTATGGTACTGGCATAAAAACAGGCACATAGACCAATGAAACAGACTAGAAAGCCCAGAAATAAATCTAGACACATATGATCAACAAATCTTCAACAAAGATACAAAGAATATGCGATGGGGAAAGGATAGTCTCTTCAATAAATGGTGTTGAGAAAACTGTACATACAAATGCAAAAAATGTTGGATCCTTATGTTATACCATATACAAAAATCAACTCAAGATGAATTAAAGATTTAAACATAAGACATGAGTCTTTAAAAATCCTAGAAGACATAGGGGAAAAGCTTCATGACATTGGTCTTAGCAATGATTTTATGTATATTACACCAACAGCACAGGCAACAAAAGCAAAAATAAACAAGTGGGACTACATCAAACTAAAACATTTCTGCACAGCTAAGGAAATAATCAAAAAAATAAAAATAAAAAAGGCAACTCATGGAATGGAAGAAAGTATTGCAAACCATAAGGGTCTAACATCAAAAATATATAAGGAACTCACATAACTCAATAAAAAAAAAAAAAAAAAAAAAAGTGATTAAAAAATGGGCATCATCGGGTAGAAATGCAATTTGTGGTAATGAGTTATGCTGCCAGTACGAATCTGGCCTTCACATCTTAGGCATGAGGAGTGACAATCAGCTCTGTATCTCATGAGTATTCATAACCAAAAAAAAAAAAAGGGCAAAAAACCTAAATAGATGTTTTTCCAAGGAGGACATGTAAATGGCCAAAAAGTACATGGAAAGGTTCTCAACATCACTAATCATCAGCATCAGGGAAATGCAAGTCAAAACCACAATGAGATGTCACTTCAAGCCTGTTAGAATGGCTGTTATCAAAAAGTGAAAAGATAACAAATGTTGTTGAGGATGTGGATAAAGGGGAACCCTTACACATTGTTGGTGAAAATGAAAACTGGTATAGCCATTATGGGAAACAGTATGGAGGTTCCTGAAAAATTTTTAAAAATAGAACTACCACATGATCCAGCAATTCCACTTCTGGGTATATATCCAAAGGAAATAAAATCATTACCTCAAAGAGGTATCTGCACTCCCGTGTTCATAAGTGTCCATCAAAAGATGCTAGATAAAGAAAATGTGGTGTATATACAATGGGATATTAGTCATCCTTATAAAAGAAGGAAACCTTGACATTTGCAACAGCATGGATGAATCTGAAGGACATTATGCCAAGTGAAATAAGCCAGACACCAAAAGACAAATACTGCATGATCTCACTTATACGTAGAATCTGAAAATGTTTAATTCATAAAAGTAAAGAGTAAAGGTGATAGGGTTTGGGGGATTGGGGAAACGTAGAGATGTTGGTTAAAGGGTATGAATGTGCAGTTATAAGCTGAATAAGTTTTGGAGACCTAATGTACAGCATGGTGACTGTAGTCAATAATAATGTATTGTATACTTGAAGTTTTCTAAGAGAGTAGCTCTTTAGTATTCTCACCACATGTTAATCAGCTGGATTGTGGCAATCATTTCACAATGTATACATATATCAAAACACCAAGTTATATACCTTGAATATATATAATTTTTTATTTGGCAATTATACCTCAATGAAGCTAAAAATAAAAAGACCATGTCATCTGTGAATACAGGTAGTTTTATTATTCTTTTCCAAACTGCATTTCTTTTATTTCAATTTTGTTTTTTTGTCTAATGGCCCTGGCTAGAACCTCAAATACAATGTTAAATAAAGTGGCGAGAATAGATATCTATGTCTTACTTTTGATGTCAGGGGTGAAAACATTCACTCTTTCATCACTAAGTATGATGCTAGCTGTGGTTTTTTTCATAGATGACTTTTTTCAGATTGAGGAAGTTCCCATCTATCCCTAAATTATTGAGTGTTTTAATAATGAAAGGGTCTTGGATTTTTACCAAATGCTTTTTCTGTATCTGTTGAGATAATCTTTTGGTTTTTTTGTCCTTTGTCCTATGGATCTAGTGTATCACATTAAGTAATTTCAGACATGAAAACAATATCGCAGTCCTTGGATAAATTTCACTTGATGATGTTGTATACTTTTCCTTATATATTATTTAATTCAATTTGTTAGGATTTTTAAATATGAAAAAATTACTGTGGTAAAGTGTAATAACACAAAATTTACCACGTTTTCCATTTCTAAGTTTAGTGGCATTAAGTACAATTGCAATGTTGTATGACCTTCACCACTATCCATCTCCAGAACTTTTTCATCATCTCAAACCACAACTATGCACATTAAAAAATAACTACCCATTCCTCCCTCACCCAGCCCATGGTAACTACTATTCTGCTTTCTGTCTCAATGAATTGACTATTCTAGGTAACAAAGTGGAACAATACAATATTTATTCTTTTGTGTCTGGCTTATGTCACTTAGCATTATATCTTCAAGGTTGTGTGAGGAGGTGATTAAAGTATAATGCCCTCCAAATTAAGAAGGTACTTTGAGACCAAAGAAGGAAACGGGCAGGTCCATTTGGTAATCAGAGATATTTATTAATCAGGGTGACTTACAGACAAGGAAGCTGGACACAGTGAAGACTTAGATGTCAGCAGATGAGAGCTCTCACTCTCTGCAGGCTAGACGATGTTTATATAG